TAATTATATTTTAGATTTTTTATATTTAAAATTAGATGTTTATCATGTATTTGATTGTGTTTATCTGCAGTTGGTTATTCGAATTCAGATATGGAATGAAATCGGATAGGGATAAAATCTGGTTTAAGAGTTTTAAGTGTTTTTAAGAGTTTTAGCCAAATGTTTTATAATATAATATAGATAGTATAGATAATTAGAATAATTTTAAACTACGTCGGTTGGATCGTACATTTTTTGTTGAGAAAATAGAAAAAACACAAAAGTGTCTGTAAAAAGAACGAACGGTGTAGATAAAACGCAGCCATTAAAGCTCAAAGAATCTGTCTCTCCCGAGCTCTCAGATCTCCAACAATCCATCACAAAATCAAAACCATCTCTCTCTTTTCCAACGTCCGATCTCCATATATAACAACTCAATCAAATCTCTCCTTCTCTCTCTCGTTGCGCGCCAAATACGACTCTCTCTCTCTCTCTCTACCTTTCTCTCTCTAAAGGTATGTAAAACTCTCAAACTTGTGGAAATTTTTTACTGCAAATTTGGTGTATGGGAAGTAAACCCTAGAAGTTTGTAGGTTGTAGTTGTGATTCTTGAATTCTTGTGTTTTGTATGTTCATTGATGAGGCTAGGGTTTTTGTCGGTGATAGGATGGCGGATGGTCCTGGGAGTCCGGCCGGTGGGAGTCAAAGCGGCGGAGAGCGGAGTCCTCAGTCGAACTATAATATCAGAGAACAAGATAGGTTCCTTCCGATCGCTAATATAAGTCGTATTATGAAGAAGGCCTTGCCTACCAATGGGAAGATCGCCAAGGACGCCAAAGATACCGTTCAGGAATGCGTTTCTGAGTTCATTAGTTTCATCACTAGCGAGTATGTATGATATTTCCACACAAATTCACACTGATGCTGTTTAATGTTGAGTTCTGAATGTACCCTCTTGAAACTAACTAAAGATTAATACAAAGCGTAAATGTAACATGTCATTAGAACACTGGCAGTTATGCTCTGACGTAACTCATGATTGAGTGAGGAGCCATCATCATTTTGTTCAAAACAACAATCTTACTCAAATTGCTCTTTTAGTTCACAATAGTAGTCCTTTTTTTTAAGGTTTTGGCACATTGATGAAGGAAACCACTATACCAGCTGTAGATTTTATCTGATTATTACAATCATTCGTGTGCACTATCATCATAATAAAGCTCTTGTTTACATTGTTATATTTAAGGAAACATATCGTCTATGTTTCTTGCTTAGTTAATTGACTTCAACATTGTGGAACGGTTACGAATTTTTAGAGGACTTGCATTATTGAATGGAGGGAGTACGAATGAAATAAATTGATTGGAAATTTGGATTTTTTATTGTGTTTTAACTTTGTACGTAGGGCTAGTGACAAGTGTCAGAAAGAGAAGAGGAAGACAATTAACGGTGACGACTTGTTGTGGGCGATGGCTACATTAGGTTTCGAAGATTACATCGATCCACTCAAAGCTTACCTATCTAGGTACAGAGAGGTAATTGGTTTTGTGGTTGCCTTTTTAGCAACATGTGGTTTTTTATTCTCTTGTTGTGATAGCAACAGGCCTTGTAAATTTTCATTGTTTTTCTTGTTAAGCATATTGTGAGGGGAATGTAGGGTACCATGTATATTATCATACTTCGGTTAGTCTTTACACGCTGTTTTAATAAATATATGCTAGTGGAGCTATAACTTTTCTTTCTTTCTAATTGGGGTTTTGAGGTGGGATTAACTCATAAATTTTAGAGATGTTTCATGAGGTGGAACCACTGATGATGAAATTGATTATGCAAATAGAAATGAAGAAAAAGGGAATGGACCTGGAGAAATTACTTCCATTACATTGTTTGGTACAAAGTTTTGGAGCCAGAAAATCCATGAAGGGGCGTGAATTTACAAATTAATTATATAGGTTTTTGAGGGAGGGGGGACAACTGCACCTGTCAGTCATCTCCGGCTTCGTCATTGTTGGTACAGACAAGGAATCGACCCAATAAATTTTGGGGTGGAATGTAATATGCACATGACTTTAAATAATTATACCTGTGTTTTTTTGCTTGTGCACATTTCTCTGGAAAAATTGAGGATGAAAAACAGAATTGTTTCTCTTCATTGTCGGTGTTTCCTTCCTTTTCTTTTCATTTACGGAGAATCAAAATAATGGAATGGGAAAGAATCTTTGGGGCTTGGGCCCTTGTTTCTATTCTCAGAACTAACCCGCCTTAAAATTGTTTCTCATTCCATTTCTCTGGTTACTTTTCGCTCCTACCAAACACTCTTAATGTTCACAGTTTGAACTCAAATTACTTCACATGATCATCCATTATGCTTGATCAAATGGGTGTTATTCTTGTGAAATTTTTATGCAGGATATTTCCTATCTTACTAGAAAAATATACTTGAACACCGTATTTACTATGTCTAGTTGTAAGAATGAGTTTTAGATACTCGTGGAGAATATACTAATAGTGTTCTGGAGTGATTTACATGTCAATTCGAATAAATTGCTTTGATTCTACATTTTGAGCATACAGTTTACTTATTTGGAAATTGGAACTGGAGGGAGTATTATCTGTTACTGGGTGCAATGTTATTTTTACTTTTTCAATTTGCTATGTTTCTCTTGGTGTTTGTTTTGTCAATTTCTAAATGCTTTCTCTAACATACATGTCTTCGTCTCCTCTGGCTGTTGGATGCTTATATGGGACAATGATTCATGCAGTTAGAGGTGCGTGGCCCATCTTTGAGACCGTTGTCAATCAATTCATGTTAATATTAGTTTTAAGTACAAAGTTATTTTGATTAGTGCTAGACTTTTCATTGCTGACGTACTGTTTTGTTTTTGTTAGGGTGATACCAAGGGATCTGCTAGGGGTGGGGATGGATCTGGTAAGAAAGATACGATTGAATCTCAGCTTCCCCCAAATGCACAGGTGAGTCGAGTGATGTTCAGGCTTCATATCTTAACCTCCTGCAGGCTGTTTAGATAGTTGATCTTTCTGTATGAATATACTCTTATTTGGCTTTGCTGCTATCTTTTTTGTCTGTTTTCATTGTGGGATAAAATGGCAGTATACTCATCAAGGTTCTTTTACACAAGGCATGAACTTCCTGGATTCGCAAGTGTGAACTTTCAGGTTCTCTCTCTTTCTCCCTTCGGGCACATTTTGGACACTTTGAACATATCTCATTTACTGTTCTTCATGAGCTAGTAGTTAATAGTCTTTTTTATCTGGCCCATGAAAATAATAATAAGGTTTTTGAAATTTGAATGCTCATGACATGGTCTTTCAACTTTAAAGATTGAAAAAAATTCCAACTGTAGGTTTTTGAAATTTGAATGCTTATGACATGATCTTTCACATGTGTTATTTCTGGCCTTCTCGTTATACTTCTGTAGAAATGAAATGTTAATTATGCGGTCATCCATCATTTTTATTAAATGACATATACATTTACCTTTACTGCGATCCTAAAAGGAGATGTACCTTTCCCTTCCTTGATTGACAAAATGTATGAGATGAGCTGGAAATGATGTCACTCTTCTGTTTGAAATAAGTCATGCTTTCTTTTTGGGATACCTGAGCGGTTCAGTTATTGCTTTGGTTTTAGCTTTATCTGTGTAGCATCAATATTCCTGCCAAAATCATATTTTCACATGGTAATCTGTAATGTTTGCTTATTTTGGTCCCCTTCTCTAACTGTGTCCTTCACATTTCTGAAAATCGAAGTCTGGATTCTACTTCCTTGTGATCTTGAACAGTGGCAATTGCTCCTTAATTTAATGAACCCTCCCCCCCCCCTGCCCCTTCAACATGTTGCATGAGTCTGTAAAATATAGCATTTAAGGAATGCAATATAATTGTTACTTTGGTCAAGGTAAAAGCCCATGGTTCGTTTTTGCTAACATTGTGTATGCCTGGACGTCTGAATTTGCAACCTTGTTGTAATAAGCTAATACAAAACATTTAGAATAATATTGTATTTTGTTTTTCATGATATATATATATATATATGTATGTATATGTGTGTGTGTGTGCATGTGACCTGATTCTCCACCTAATGAGAAATGAATTGGACGGTTTTATAAAGATTTGTCTTTAAGGCAGTTTGGATGGAGTCGGCAAAAATAGCACAGTGAGGAGTTTTCTTCAAGGTTAAGGAAACTACTATTTTATTATATTTCAACTGATTACTTGTATCGAGTATAACTTTGTATACGTAGCTTAAGATTTAATATGAATACATATTTGCGATCTGCGGAAAATCCTTTAGTCATAGACATACTACTCTCATACCTTTCTTCGTATATACGATTTTTCGTAGTCTTATTTTGATCTTTTTGACATTTATAGTCTTCAATTCTCAACATATTTATATTCAAAGAGTCGACATTAATATGATATTTATATGATCTAGAAATGGTGTAAGTTTCCATTGTTGAAATCAAATAAATCAAACATAAAAACTTCTAATCTTTTTTCAATCCTTAAATCATCATTACAATCCTCATCATTGAATCTATATATATGTATGTATGTATGTATATGTATTGCAGACACATACATATATATACACACACACATATATATACATATATATATATATATATATATATTTATATGCATTATATATGGTATAACTTAAAAAATATTTATAACCATTGAATTCGCTAAAACCATGTACCAGTATTGAATTCAACTAATTAATAAAACTTTGTAGGGTTCGAATCTAAACATATCCTCGTGATTGCCATAAATCGTTGATCTCAAAATATATTAGTCGTATCACGTAAAATTTCACAAGACTAGAATTATTGTAAAAACGACAAAAATTATTTAAAAAAAGATAATAAAATAGTAGTATATATTTTTCAAACTTATCCTTCCGAGTTCTAAATAATAATCAACTAATAGTATTATGTTTTTATATTTATTCTTGTCGTATCCTGTTCGGTGTATCTTTTTGATACATGTGTTACAACTCATCCCCCGTACAAGAATTCCATCATCAGAAATCACATTTGACTTAATAGTTGCAAATATTTCATCCTCATTTCGGCTTTAGGCTCCATGGTCCTCCTTAAACCTTAATGAAACTGCCATTGTACTTTCACTGGAGGAATAGTAATAAACGTTAGGTTTTTACTTTTTCTATCCATTATCCTCCTAGGTTCTTCTACACAGCTTAATTGATCATTTACTGTTACATGATACATCTCAAGGGCTACTCGGATGTTTTTCAGCTAGACACCTTGTCAGGTTTGGCATGTGTCATGAATTTTTCAATCCTATTGGCAGCTTTAATCAATAAGCTACTTCATTGACTTTGGCTATAGTCTTGAGATCAACGTATCCTGGATTTAACTTGCCTCTTTTATCATATGTCCATATCTGACTATCGCCTTTCATTGTGATATCTTTAACACGTTCTATCACCGACCTAAAATTCTGAAGGTCGTTTTCTTTTATTAACATAACTTTTCTATCTTGGGCAATATGTCGTCTCTATTTGGTCTTTACAATCTTGTCCATTGTTTGCTGAACTATTTCTTCTGGTCCAACTAATTGTTTCTAACCAACATACTTGATGTTGCTTGGATAATCTGAGTGGTATTGTTGCCTTAACTACCACCAAAGTCTATCATACATGCTCTGATTATCTCTGCTAGATTCTGAATCGTTCGTTGACACTGCTTATTTGTTTGAGGATTATAAGTTGTACTCAAATTCAGATGAATACCCATCTTATTGAAACTTTATCCAAAATCTCTAGGTTAAATCAATTGTCTCTATGATATGATTGATAATGGCACATTGTGCCTCGTCGTGATCTCGTTTACTTATAGTTGGGCTAACTTCTCTATTGAATATAACTTCTTTAGGTAACAAGCATGTAGACTTTTTTAATCTATCTGACTATCATCAAATAGGATCATGCCCTTGCAACGTTTTTGGCAATCTGGTGACGAAGTCCATCGTCCATAAATCTTGCTTTTACACCGGGATCTCCAATTGTTGTATGCAACCAATTGGTCTTTGTTGTTTCATGTTAACTTGTAGGCATGTTAAACACTTTTCTACCTACTTTGCCTTTGATTTATTCATTACTTGCCACCAGTGGCCTTCTCTTATGCTGTTATACATCTTTTCGTTGTGCGGGTGCATCATGTACTTGGGACTTATATGTTTCATCCCGTATTGCATCTCTTACTACGTCTATCTTGCAAACCATACTTGATTTTTGAATCTCAGGATTCCTTTGGTACCCATCTTTAGTAACATGGGTTTGTCTAACCGTTCTTTCACTTCTTGGAGTGCTTTCTTCCATGCCTTCCAGTTTTGGTCCATCAAATATATCCTTACATGTGTTATCATGGCACAAACCCAAATCGGTTCTGCTCAAGGCATTAACAATTACGTTCACCCCTTGCCTGAATGGTAGGGTATATCACAATCATAATCTTATAATAACTTGATCCATTTTCGCTGTCTCATATTGAACTCTTTTTGGTTAGATAAGTACATCAAGCTATTTCATCCGTATAGGTAGTGTCTCCAAATCTCAAAGCGAACCTAACCGCTGGTAGCTTTATATTGTGCATAAAATATTTCGTGCTCTTTCTGTTGTGATGCAAAGGTAGGGATGAGATCGGTACCGGACAGGTACCGAACCGGTTGGTACCGAAATTTTTTGGGACTAAAAATGAGGACCGAAAACCAAACCATATGTACAAATTCATTATTGGTTCGGTTTTGGTTTCAGGACGGGAAATTCGGGACTAGGACCACTTAGGACCGAAAATTTAAAGTGGGTAAAGAAACAATCAGAACCACTCGCAAACATAATCTAAAACTTGTGGTATATATCGAGTTTCATCCATGGAGGAGCTGACTTTTTTGATGGTGATAGGTCGATTTCTTGATAATGTGATACTACCAATTTTTTTGATGGTGATACCCATTTTTTTATCAAAGTAATGGTTATGGAGAAGGGATGGATTATTTTAGGAGAAGATATGGATTAGTTTAAGAAATAGAGATGGAAATTGGAAAAGCCACATGACTATTGGATCACCCGGTTCGATTCCGGTATTTTTGGGAAATTCTCGGTACCGAATACTGATTTTGAAGTATTCTTGGGACCGAAAACCGAACCGATTATATGCACATGGTTCCAATTCCGTACGGTTTTGGTTCGGTCCCGGTTCGGTTCGTGAAAATGGTCCCCTAGCCTCATCCCTATGCAAAGGCTATCATCTTGTTCAGGTGCGCTTAGGCTCTGAGGCTCATAATGCTCAAGGTCTTGGGCTTTCATAATGCTCAAGGTCTTGGGCTTTTTTAAAGTACAGGCTAGGCGTATTCACGAGGCTCACTAAGGCCCTGCGCCTTGGCTGAGGCGCCTTGTGGACCTAGGCGCGCCTCATAAAGAGTTACTAAATACCAAATCGAACCCCAATATTGAATAAGCTTTTTCATCTTCTTATCTTCTAGACGTCTTAAAAAAGGGTTATTAAATAGATGATATAAGTCAAATCATAATACTAAAAACCTGGTTTTTACAACTTCAAGCCTTTTTCTCTATAAATACCCGGACCTTAAAACTTCTTCCTTATGGCTCATGCTTTAAACCCTTCTCTCTTCTGCCTCAATCGAAATACAGTTGGTTGCTGCATTGGAGGCTTGTACTTGCTACATATTTGAGTTGTATGTAGTTGTGTGTGTATATGTGTATATATATAACTTCTTTTATATAAGATGCGCCTCACATTCCCGAGGCCATGCCTCATGCCCAGACCCGGGGACCCCTTTGCGCCTAAGTGCGTCTTGAGCCTTTGACAACTTTGATCATCTTGTCTTGTTGCATCAAAACACATCCCAACACTTGCTTCAAGGCATCACTATACACCATGAAGCCTTCGGTTTCTTTTAGTTATCAGATTTCTGGTGCACTATTCAACATTTTTAGTGTTTTTGTAACGTTTCATCTTGCTTGCCCAATTCAGACTTGATAGCTTTATTTGTCGATGTTGTTGACGGGGTAGCTATCTTCGAAAAGTCTTGAATAGATCTCTCTAGTAGGATCTGACTAACCCAAGAAAACTTTGAACTTCCGATGCTGGTCTTGGAGGTTCCCGTTCCATCATTGCCTTAATTTTAGCTGGGTCCATCTTGATCTCATATGCATTCACAAAGTGACTTAGAAAATGTACCTCATGTACCCAAAAGTCACATTTTAAAATGTTAGCATAGAATTTTCCTTTCCTTGGCAACTCTAAGATTATTCTAAAATGTTGCTCATGCTTTTCTCGGTTCTTCGAGTAAATGAGACGTCCATCAATGAATACCATCACAAATAGATCTAAATATGGTATGCAAACTCTGTTCATTAGGAAAACCGTTTACCAAACGCTTACTCGGGTGAGCGCTTACTAAGTCACATTACCTCACCAGATGAATATGGTAAGGACCAAGAATCTTACTCGGTAAGAGCGAGACAAGGACCAAGAGTCTTACCCGGTAAGTGAGGACGACGATTCTTACCACGGTAAGCACTTACCGGGTAAATTGTTGCATGCAATGTTGTTTTGGTGGTCTAAAATCTTACCCAATATGTAAATAATAGTGTTAAATTTTATTGGTAAACACTTCCATGTAAGTATTTGGTAAACAGTCCCTAAGTTCATGAACATTACTGACACCTTGGTGAAACCAAACAACATCACCATTGTCCTAAATGTTGTTTTCGGTATATCATCTTTTGACATGTCTAACTAAATGGCATTTCAACCTCAATTTTCTAGGAGCTAAACAAATAGGTGGTCGATCAATGGCAATGGATACTTGTTATATGTGGTGATTATGTTCAACTAATGACAATCTACGCTGGCAATGGATACTTGTTATATGTGGTGATTATGTTCAACTAATGACAATCTACGCACATCTGAACTGTGCCGTATTTCTGCTTCACAAAGAGTATCTGAAAAGAGCTCAAGAGTATAAACCCTTTACCTATACACTATATGCTATTGCTGTACCTTCACAAAACCTATGCACATCCATATTGTGATTGCATGATGTCTTAAGATCTCATATACGCTATAGTGAACTAGACATGCCATTAAACTGGCACTTCCAGCTTGTGGAAGTTTGGACTTCACTTCAGTAGTTTTCTGGGTTAACCTGTCAAATGTCTAAAATACCCTTTCACTACGACACGATACAATAAATTCTTCTGAATGCTATCAAGTAGTATTTGTGACAAAAGACAAATAAGTAATTTCCATCTTGAAGAAGTCGTGACAAGTTATATGCGATTTCTAAGATAGAAAATATTTGCAATTTTCATTTAGCAAAGAAGTATATATATATATATATATATATATATATATATATATATATATATATATTTATGTATATGTATGTATATATAGGGGACTAATAAAATGAGAACTAATTAATTTGTGGTAACTGTGAGGTCTAATATGAGTCAATCATTTTATTATATTAATTGTATTACCTTAATTAAGAAAAAAGGGTGTATTAGTAATTTTTCTTAATATTTTTCAATAACGGTTATCAATCAAAGAGATTGATACTGTTTTCTTATTAATCAAACAAATTATGGAAGTTCATACACCATATCTTCAATTATGTGCAATCATTGCAAAAACAAGGTGAGGCATAATAGAATTATAATCAAATCCCCCATTTTTGATTCGTTTAAAAAGCTGCAAGCCTCTTATGTTCTTTGTAATCTCCGTGTATCACAGTTGTATTTATCAACTAGATCTGGTATCATAGTGTGTATCACAGTGTATTTTTGTCGTTATACGAAGTGTATCACAATATATTTTTGTTGTTTTACGAAATGTAACACAATATATATCAGGTAATGTTTTTTTACCAAGTATATCATACTGTGTTTTATCGTTATTTTATGAAGCGTATCACAGTGTGTGTGTGGATATGGATTGGTGTTTTATTTAGAAGCAGAGATGGTAACCCTGTGTTATATATTGAGTTTGTTGCAGGCAGGTAGGCAGGCAAAGGGTGGTGTTAAGCTAGGGAAGCAGGAGGTTGGGGTTCTTGTTTACTGATTTAAATTTCTGCGGTCAGTAAATAATGTTTAACACGACTTGTACTTTTTTTTTTCATCTAATATGGTATAGTCTTTTATATACTAGTGTTATATATATATATATATATATATATATATGTGCATGTATAAAGTTCATATTTGTTCATCTCCCCTCACTTAATTTTGTGTTTGTTTGTTGGCATAATGCGTTCTCTTTAAACTAACACATCAAAATTTAAATTTTGATATAAATATAAATGAAACATATTTGGTAACAAAAAGTCGATGAATCTCAAATGTTTAAATGTCTGTTTTCTTTTCTTTTGTAAATCAAGTTTATAATTTATGATCCTCATTTCAAAGTTTCTGATTTGTTAATATTTTACTCCAATAGCTTACTCAAAACTATCTTCAAAATGAAGAAAGTAAGAGAGATAATGGTTTTTTCTTCAAATATGGAGATCACCCTATAAATGATTATCATGTAAGAGCATCAATACGAATAAATGAATATTTAGAGAGAGAAATAATGTTTTAATAGATGAATGAAATATATTAATATTAAAATCAATGTTGGATTTTCTGAAATGATGAATTTGTGGGAGATGAATTTATCTGACTTTTGTCTTTGTGCTTTCAAAAGGGAAAAGTCTAAAAAAACCCAATGGATTTTACTCTTTGGAATGATTAAATCTTTGGATAATTTTTTGGAACAAATAAACCATTAGACATTCTAAAACCTGTTAAATAAATCCTTAGACTTTTTAGAATTTGTTAAATAGATCCTTATTTRTTTAAAATGTAACMYGTGACCTGAAGARTAGGTAAACTCAAATTAAAAAAAAAAAAAACCCCTAATATCCTAAAAATGATGACTCCCAGCTCACTCATCGTCTCCCTCTCGTCTCCACACCACCGTGACCACTCATCTCCTCCCTCTCGTGACCACCGCTCCCTCCCGTCTCCTTCTCCCTCACACACCGTCGTCTCCCTCTCGTCCCCACACCACCGTGACCACTCATCTCCTCCCTCTCGTGACCACCGCTCCCTCCCGTCTCCTTCTCCCTCACACACCGTCGTCTCCCTCTCGTCCCCACACCACCGTGACCACCGTGACCACTCATCTCCTCCCTCTCGTGACCACCGCTCCCTCACGTCTCCTTCTCCCTCACACACCGTTGTTTCCCTCGCCCGCACCACTGCCACACCACCGCCGCACCACCCCCGATCACCAGGTTGGCTTCCCCTTATGTCTGGAATCACGAGTGTCGCTCTTAGGTATCTTGCCACTACTACTGCATCAGTAACCTGAGGTTTACAATCACCATGGTTAAGATTTGATGAAACACAAAAGATAGATAAAAGGTTGCAATACATGATTTTGACATAAGAAACAGAATGAAATGTGTTGATTTCTTTTGTTTCTTTTCCTTCCCCTTTCTTCCTCTCTCTGTGCAGACTTCATTAACTCAATTTTGTGAAACCAACACAATTTATTTGTAAGGAAATCCCACCACTCATTTACCATTCCAGATGAAATTAGAGGGAAACCAGGGTAAGGAACAAGGTAATTAAGACAGAAATAGAAGCAAAGGTAGCAGGTGTAGGTTTGGACTTTTATCAAATACCTGGGAGACATGGTATTCGGGTCCGTTGGTTAATGAGAAAGTGACAAATCCTTTAGATTCTTCTACCTCTTTTATAAGATTTCAAAGAAAGTAACGTTAGAAATAGACATCAATGAAAATGTTTAGATTAGTTTTAGATAGCGTGTAGCACTGACCCAAATCTGGTGTAGACCAGCAAGGCTTGAGAGCAGTATCTTCCTCCTTCCAAGGATCATCGCCAGCCGAATCAAATGCGAGGCTTTTCTCTGAATCCTTAACACTTTGGGTGGATCCAACATGGTTGACCTATATGAAAGGTATTAGTAATGTGTATCTGAATTTTGATGGTAAAATAAATGAGGGTTTGAAATGGGCCTATAATTAAAACAGGACCAATTCCAATTATGGTTGGAGATTCAACGTGAGATAAAGAAAATGAAAGATTGCAGAGTGAAGAAGAAGAAGCATACATGATGAGAAACAGGAGCGTCAAAGTGTTCACGCTTAATCATGTTGCCAAGCATTAGATTGTAACTATTTTATCGTTCAAAAAATATTTATGGACTTAATCGTTCAAAATATGAAAATTCATTGGTTTTTTCGGATCTTTTCCACTAGCAAAATGTATTTAACAGATTTTAGAAAGTCCAATGACTTATTTAACAGGTTTTGTAAAGTCCAATGACTTATTTAACAGGTTTTAGAATGTCCAAGGATTTATTTGTTTCAAAAAATTGTCCAAGGACTTAATCGTTCCAAAGAGTAAAGTCCATCGAGTTTTTTTGGACTTTTCCCCTTTCAAAACTACAATTTTATTTCTTGTGTTATGTAATTTATTGTTATTTTCGTTCTTTAAACTGGCTCCATTAGTGGTTTGTCGTTAAATAGGGACTGAAACAACATGAAAAAAAAACAACGAATTGTAAAATATTGGGATGAAATCCGTAATTTTAGAAGCACGACAACAAAAATAGCAATTTTGTTTACTACTATACTCTATTTTTATTAAGTTTTTAAATGACGTGAGTTGTGGCATGACGACAATGTCAAGTCTAAGTGTTATGAGTTACAACATGGCCATGTCGTTTTTCAAGGCATGTCTTAAAGCGACATATGTATAAACATATACATGTAGATGTATGCTCTGTCTGTTAGTGTTTTGAATAGTTTCATAGACAATTTGAATGCATTTAAAACAATAAACTTAAAAAAGAAAAGAAGAACCATTTATATCGAATTTATCAAATTATAAGAAAATGATATCGAGAGTCTAAAATTGGGATGAAATCATTTGAGTATTATGTTTTGTTTTTAATGTTTATATAAGTATTAGGTCTCATATATAATTATCATTTACCCTTCAAATTATATGTTTAAAAAAAAGTATAAAAAAACATGTCTTACAAAATAATACGTCAAATCATATCATAAGAGCATCTCCCATGGAGGTTTTAATAAGAACCTTCTTTTTTGCACTTTTTGTTGCCACGTCATTTTCAACTAGTGATGGCCAAACCGGCCCAGGACCAGCCCAGCCCGGCCCGGCACAGGACTAGTAAGGACCGAAATCTGGGACCGGTTATAGATTTGGGGTGTTTTGCAGGATCGGGACCGGTTATGGACCGACCCGGCCCGATTTTTCAAAAACAGAGTTTTTTTTTTTTTKTAAAATATAACCGTTATTTTTCAAAAAACTAGCCATTTTTTGCCCTTTTTTTGTATTTTTTGCTTTCTAAACACTATATATAAGTGTCTTGGTTGAAGGATTTTCATACCAAGTTCTTGATTCGCAAAAACGCAAAAAATACGTTCACAATTGTCGGTTTCTCGCTATATTTTGTAAGACAATGTAAGTTTAATTATAATAAAATGCATTTTTAAAGTGTATTTGAGTGACCCAATTACAAATTTTATAATGTATTAAAAATATATATCATTAAAAAAATAAACATAAAAGATAATATTTTTTAATGACCGGGGCCGGTTGGGACCGGCGGCCCATAACCGGTTACGATAAAGCTTGACTGGGCTCAACTTTTGGTTATGACCGGTTATGAGAAATCTTGAGACCGGTTGGGACCGGCCCGGCCTGGGACCTATTTTTGGCCATCACTACATTCAACTCATCAAATTAAGAACTCACATAAAAGTCCACAATGATAGTTCTTATAACCTCCTTTTTGTGGAAACCTCCTCTTGAGTTACTTAAAAACCAATAACCGTAGTTTCAAGAACAAAAAGAAGTGGTAATATTAATAATTATAAAGTCAATACAATATGTAAAAAAACTAGGAAATTATTACTTCATGGTAAAAACTAAAGTTTATTTGTATAAGAACGTAAAGAGGATAAGGTTCTTATAAAGAAGTCTCCACAAAGATAGTTCTGACAAGTCACTTCACTTTTTGCTTATAAGAACGTTGCACTGGAGATGCTTTATAAACGCCATAATGCATTACAACGTAAGTCGAGCCACAAAAGTTAACGTGACGACGAAGCCAAACCTTGACGTCATAACATGCCATAGCGAACCACAAGGGTGGTGTCTGATTGGTTTGAGCTTGGCTCCAAATATCAAAAGTACCAGGAGGTCCAAATTCAAATCCAATGAGGAATAAAAATCCCCTTGTGGCTACGGAGGTTCAAATACGGTGACTTCAGACTATCTACAAAATAGATGATCGTTTTGAAATTAGTCAGCTTGTATAACGAGTTAGATATCCAGGTTAATAAAAAAACATCTCATGGCAAGTAATGTATATCACAAAGTAAAATTTGTTGGATTTATTGGTTGGTGGGAATATTATAAAAAAGAATATTTGAGGGACTGCGATGTAAATATAAAACCTTCCAACTTCCCCACATGAGTATTGGGATCTTGGTTGGGTTTGGTCATCTTCTTCCCTAATCGCTCGTTAGGGTTTACAATTTGTAATCAGAATTCTGCTAAACTCTCCGAGCATCCTTGCTCACGAATCATAAGGTAACATCTAAGAACGTCAGCATATTCTTCGTCGATTTTGTTGTACTATTGCTTGTTCGAATCAATATATTTTACAGCATTGTTCTTCGAGCTATGGATTCTGCTTGTATTTTTATGGTTATCCGTTTGTGTACAATCATACCGTAAGGTAGATGCATGCTATCAATTGAATTGTTTGTATTCAGTCATTATTATTGGTATCCATTTATATACAATTTAAGTGGGGACGGTATACATCTTTGTTTTTTTTTTGGAATTTATACTTCAATATTTAGGGTTTTTTCGCATTATTTGGTTGGTTTTTTAGGCAGAAAACACAATTCTGTTGATTTTTGCTTTATTTTTCGTTCGTTTAGTCCAGTTAACATTTAGGTTTTGGGAACCTGGTTGTGTTGTGATTGAAGAAATAAAGATGTGGAGTTTTGTTTACTTGATATCAGTGGAGAAGCGAAATGGCAGGGGAGAATGAATGAAAATGGTATAAACAAATGGAACATTAGGTTATTCAGATATTGCCTTTTCAGTTTTATGAAATTTAGATGCAATTTAAGATGATTACAAAACATTGACATAGTTAAATACTTCAAACTCTGACTTCTTAATTCTTGTGATTACCATATGGATTTCCGATATATCTCCAGTTTTCAACGCACTCGGTAAAAGAACTTAATTGTTGATATATTATGTATAAATAAGGTGTCAATTTGGAGTAACTAAAGTATGGCTATTATGGACTCACTCAGATAGACATATCTTCTAGACCATACATACTACACACATCGTAATTATCTATAAACTATATATCTTGAGGCAACACTGGTAATGCAAATCATAGTAGTGTTTATCAACTTGAGCTTTTATTGCTTATTTATAGAATTATAGTTGTTATTATATGGATATGTTAGTAGCAGGTCAAAATTGTAGTCTGTTCTGGTCTTCTTAAGTTATATTTATCTTGGAGAACAATAGCTTAGGCGTCAAAGCTCAATAAAAATCCGTTGTTATACATTTTTAAAACTGTATGTCTTTTTCATCGTGGATGTTTATAATATCTTGGACTGGAGTAATTAGTTAGAGGCATGGACACAAAATGCAATAATTGCATTAATTATTCGGTTGTAGAAAGAATTTTCTTCAGCATACATCCTCTAATGCAGAGGTTGGTTCCAAAAGTTTGTCTGTAAGAAACAAGTAATTAGTTTGCCCACCCCCTTTCATTTTTTTGCTTATATTCTTCTTCAGTAGTTATTCTTTGACAGTTACATTTGTTGCCTCAAATCTGCCATCTATTGATGGCTTAAAAATGGAAGTAGTTTGGAACCAATGATAAATTTTCCTCCTGGGCTCACATTCATGGTTTAATAAATTTTTAAAAGCTTAATTTTCTTCCCATTTGGTTTATTGTATCGTTATGACCCAAGCAAAAGTTAAAATGGGGCAAGATACACACTTAGTCCTATAGTTATTTGCTTGTGGTATACAGTGGTAAGTTAACCGAATTTTGGTGGACTTCTTTAATGTCTTACTTTGCTTCTGGCACCAGGAACTTTGTGCAGACATCTTGAATCATGAACTGTAATTTCGTCAAGAAAAGACCGATTTACCTTTAAGGAAACATCATTGATGAGGCCAAAACTGGAAATGCTGTTAAAATTTACTTATTCTTTAGGAAATAAACAACTACATATTAGCTATTGCTACTCATTTACTTGATTCTCAGTAAGAATTGCATCTGTTTCCAGCTAGATTCTTTGGCTGATCCAGAAGAAAATTGCTGCTGTTATGCTTAAGATGGTTATGGATATACTAATTTCTATATTTCTTATTAAGGGTGTGTATGGTACACAGACAAGACTAAACTACAGGGGAGAGTGAGGTGGACAGGTGAAAGAATTGTGGAAGGTTTCAGGGTTTTACTTTGACATTGGTAGGTTAGTAATTTATCACTCTTGTTCCATCTTCCTGGTTTTTGTTCCACCTAATTTTGTGGGATAAAAAAATGCATCTGTCCCATTCAGTCTCGTCATGTACCAGTCTTATGTTGCGGCAAACGTGGTACCATTCGTCATGTCCCGTTCTGTCCGGCGTACCAAATGCACTCTGGTTTTGTTTGTATACTGCTAACGTTTTTGAATCATGCAATTTTACAAACATATGCTTCTCATCCAAATATCATCTGATAAAATTTCGGCGCTAAATTATATTTTGTTGCAGGATGATGGGTTGATTTTGTTGGTTTCAATATTAGTGGTTATATTTATGGAGAACTCCGAAGCATCCATTTCATCTACAGCAACTCGCACATGGCACGACTTTTTGGAGCGTATGCGACAACCTTCCGCTACAGAATTTGTAAAATCCATTAAAAGTTTTATCGTGTCGTTCTCAAACAATGCTCCTGATCCGGAAAGAGACAGTGCGTCCATACAGGAGTTTCTCGGCAATATGGAAGCCGCTTTCCGGGCCCATCCATTATGGGCAGGCCGCACTGAAGAAGAGTTGGATAATGCCGGTGAAGGCCTGGAAAAGTACATAATGACAAAGTTATTCAATCGTGTGTTCGCTTCACACCCAGATGACATCAAAATCGACAACGAACTTCATCAGAAATCAGCTTTAATCCAGCAATTTATCCGGCCCGAGCACTTAGAGATTCGACAAATTTACGAAAATGAAACATCATGGTTACTCGCCCAGAAAGAACTTCAAAAAATCAACGTCTACAAATCACCACGAGATAAACTGGCGTGCATTCTCAATTGTTGCAAGATCATCAGTAACTTACTGCTTAACGCTGCGATTAATGCCAATCAAAATCCACCTGGGGCCGATGATTTTCTTCCGGTTCTGATCTACATTACCATCAAAGCAAATCCGCCTCAATTGCACTCAAACTTGTCTTATATTCAACGGTACAGGTGCAAATCTCGATTAGTTGGAGAATCAGCCTATATTTTCACCAATATGCTATCTGCCGAATCCTTCATCTTGAGCATAAACGCTGAATCGTTGTCGATGAATGAAACCGAGTTCACGAAGAATATGGAATCTGCTCAACTCATTTCGGGCCTTTCCAGCGAGACTCAAAGTGAAACGGTATCAAATTCGAAGTTGAAAGAAGTTCCATCAGTTTCAGATTTGGAGAATAAAGGGGCAGCGGTGATTGTGGCAGAGGAAAACGTAAGCGAAAAGTTCGACAACTTTCCGTACTTGTACTCGAAAGCTGAAGATTTGACAATAGGTAATGTAGAAGAGTTGTTAAATGGTTATAAGCAACTTGTGTTCAAGTATGTTTGTCTTGCTAAAGGGTTGGGTGTTCCGGTGTGGTGGCACCAAGCTCAGGGAACCCGAACTGGCGGTGAAGCTGCAGGGGATCTTGGTAAAATAGATGGTGATGAGGAAGGGTTGGGTGTTCCGGCACGGCTGTCGGCGGAAATTGGTGGCGGAAGTGGGGTGGCATTGGAAGGTAAGGAGAGCATGGAGCTTAATGGTGATGATGTTGGTGGTGGGAAAGAGTTGGGTGGTCCGGAGCCGCCACTCGAATCATCGGAAGCCGGAATTGCGGTGCATTCACCGGAGGCTAAGGGGGATGTGGTGGTGGATGATGAGCAGAAGGTGGAGGACGTTAGAGTAGAAGGTGGTCGGAATGATGAATCGACGGTGGCCGGAAAGTATATGGAGAGATGAATTCTATAGATTCCATTTTTGTTTTGTGGGTTGGATCTGCATTTATATTTGTTTATTTATTGTATCTTTTGCTCATATTCTGTTTTTTTAGTACCATCTTTTGGAGAGAATAAGGAAAATTTTGTTATTTCATATAAATTATATAATTTTTTTTCCTAAACTAGAAGGATACTCGTGTAATGTAACGATATATATCTTGATTTTAATGTTTTATTTTGTTTATTTTTTTTATCGATATAATACAGTTTATATGTGGCTTTTAGAAAACGATGATATTTTTATTTTTAAATGAAATGTAAATTTGAAAAAAAAAAGGTATCAATATTGGTATATCATTAATTATTTAAAAGTTTTTGTTTTTCGTATAATTTCTTTTATTTAATTTTTTATTATAATTTAATTTAGATCTAATAATAAAGTAATTTATTTTTGTTTAATAATATAATTTTTATAAAGATGATAATTAAGTATTATGTTAAAACTCAATGATTATTCTAATTATATTTTAAATTTATATACTTAAAATGAGATTTTTATCTTGTATTTGATTATGTTTATTTACAGTTAGTTACACGAATTCAAAAATAGAGTTTTAATAAGTTGTACTTACGCACAATTTAATTGTGATATTGAATTTTAGGTAATATGCATCAATAAACAATATTATATGTATAAAAATGATTTTAAGAGTTTTGTCAAATTCTTTATAATATAATGTAAATAAATAAATCATTGAACTTCTAGAAATGTTACTGGAAAAGTTTTTGAAAGCAAAAAAAAACCTGAATTAGTTTTAATATTCCCCCTTGCTATCTTATCATTGTCGGCTCTCTGTCTCTGTTGTTGGTTCCTGTCATCGATCTCCCTCTTTTTGATAGGTATTTTTTTTGTTTTTCCACTCTCCTACTTTTTGTATATGGTTATACATATTCTATCAAAACTGTTGTAAAAAGGGAGAATCGAAAGGCAAACAAATTAAAAAGATGGAGTTTGATGGCATGGCCAACGGCAACGATGAACCGTATGGAAAACAGATGATGATGGGGGTGGCGAGGGGTAGCAAAGGGAGTAATGTCGCATGGTGCAAGGGGTTTGATTGATGTAGAATTTGGGAACAATAAAACTGATTTATATTTAACTAATATTTAAAACTTCAAATGATTTAATTAAACAAAAAAATGTCCATGAATTTAATCATTTGAAATGATAAAGTTAAACTTATTCAAAATCAAAAGTTTGTTGGGTATTTTGGACTGTTCCCTTTTTTACAAATTTACCATTTATATATGTTTTGACGATATTAAATTGATAGGTAATTTTGTAAAAACTGTTCAAGAGTTTTACTTTTTTTCCAATCGCACATTTGGAAGAAAACACATAACTTATTTTCCTTACTAAAAAGTTTTACTTGTGATATTGAACAAGATTTCTTTAGTGTGTATATATATATATATATATATAACAAAATTATTGTAAGTTCAGACTAAGCAAAGACATGATTCTAACATAACACAAACAAACTTTCATTCAATCAATTGCAGGAATCTGAACACTATGCAAATATGAAAAAGTCAAAACATCAAAATGTAACCAATTATGTTGATGGGAAAAAAAGGCAGAAAAATAACCTAAGATATGACCCAACATATCACAAATAAAAAGTTCTAAATGCTAAGTTAAACTTCAAACTCTGCAAGCAAAACCATGATATTATTTGCTGTAAATGAGGCATAAAGATATAGCAAAATTCATGAATCAGAATAACCAAGATATTAATGCAATTCTATTGCTTACCAAATGTCTTCTCAATCAATGGAGTTCTTGAGCAATGATGAGGAGTTCCAGGAACAGAAAGTTGGCCATGAACTTTGACTTCTGAAACCACATCCCTATCAACAAGATCAATCACCTCCAACTCCCTGCTTAAACCATTCACTTCATCTTCAAAGCTATACACATTCTCCTTTTGGCTTTCCTCTACTTGCTTTTTCTTCATACCTTCATCTTTCATCTTCATTTTCTTCTTTCGTATATCTTTCGCTATCTGCCCATCTGCCTTCACCTTGCTATAACTCGGACTAACTTTCCTTCCATCATGTTCCCCATTGGAACTTTTTCTCACTTTTGAGCAGATCTCGGTGGAAACACAAGGAGAAAGATTAGACGACCGCAATTTGTTTAATCTGTTTTCGTTAGGCGAAGGACTCTGTCCCCCAAATTCGACTTGTGTAATTCTTCTCAAGCTTGGCTGCAAAGGTTGCTCCTGTGAGCACAAGATTTATAGAAAAAGGTATTTAGTGTATACACAGAAGGTTGCCTTAGTTCCTATATGATGTAACAAAGATTTTTTTTGAATGTAACAAAGATTCAAAATTTCTTACTTTTTTACTCATTTGACCTGTTGGTCTTGTAACGTTTGATGACGTGGAGGTTAAGTTTCACTTATTGCTACCCTTTTGTAAGTGGGTATCCACGTTATTGAATGCTACAAGATCATCAGGTTTACGGTCAAAATGGGTACAAAGTACGAAGATCAAAGATTTGAAACTTCGCTGCATCAAGTAAGGAAAAAAAAATTCTTCGTTACACTAAATAGGAACTAGTTGTCGCATTTTGTGCTATATTACATGTAAAGAAGTCAAAAGAAACTAGAATGGGATGTATAACCTCATCAAAGAATCCAATCTTTGGGGATGGCATTCTAAGACCTGAAGATTTGATCTTTCTTTTTTGTCCACCAGAAGATGGGGTAGTTCCTATGGATGCTCTTGTGGCATATTCACTAGCAAACTTTCTTTCCTCCGATTTATGGGAAGGGGTAAGCGGATTATTCTGAAAATCTGATGCCAGCATGGCATCGTGAGAACTACTAGCAGAATTTTGATGAGTAGTAGAAGTTGAAGATAAAGGTCCCGAGACACATCCATCAATAGAGCTAGCAGGAGATGTGCCAGGAGAACAGATAGATGTCAATGAAAAATGGACCGATGAAGGGGAAGCAGGTAGTTTCGTGTTTCTGGGGTTGATTTTCCTTCTAAGAGGCTTGGAGGATGAAGCACTAGAAGAGGAATCGTATGAGCGATGAACTTTTGAGTCCTTTTCAGTAGTTGGAGAAGTAAAAGAAGTTGACTTAGGAAGACCAGACAAGTCTCCCCATCGAGACCTCTTGGATGCTGTCAAATCTGGGACTGTATAAAATAGAACAGATTCAGTGTCAGATGAACCAAATCCTCATTGAATTTTATTTTTCCAGTTAAGCCCATGTTTGGCAACCATAAGCTAGCTTATTTTTTGAACTTATTTAAAAAGCTGCATTTCCCATTGGGTAAGTCATAAACTAGCTTTTCGAAATGCTACTCGAAGTAGTTTTTCAATAAGCTTCAGGGGCTTTTTTCCAATTATGCCCCTAATACTTTTTTAATTAATTTTTCAGCATGTCCTTTTAGGTCATTTACATTGTCATCTAGCGTATCAACTAGTTTGTAAAGCTAGCAGCGAGTTTTTCAGTTAGTTTGCCAAACATAGCCTAAATAAACATATATGACTGATTTATCATTTTGAAACCATACCCAATCCAGCCTTTCTGGTTTTGTTTTCCATTTTCATGTCATCTGATCCTTCAATGGCTGCCTTAGTAGTCTGTCTAGATGAGATGAGTTTTGATTGGCTTGACACCTTGTCCTATTTCATCGCAGCAGTACACATGGTGTCAATTCATACCCCATATATAAGTACCACAATCATCTTTATGATACCAATCATAAAATGAGATCATATTGCCAACACATTATCAAGAAAAGCTGGTTGTTGAGATAGATGCATGCCTGTATAATTTGGGGGTCGGTGATACTGGTCTTTGTCATACCCTTTGATCCTTGTGGATTGAGGCTCTGGCTCTTCGGAGCTCGAAGTGATTTCACCTTACATTTTGCAGATGGGAATTCTTTATTTTTTGGTTTTATAAGAAAAAGAGAGAAAAACCAAGTGAATGATGACCATTGGTGAATATACACACCTTGTTTTGAGAGCAAATATTCGTCTTATTGCTGGCTGAAAAGAAGCAAGTACATTTACAAATCTCAGTTCTATAAAGAATATGAACAAAGACCAAAGGGCCTTTGGCCTAGCGGTATCATAGTCTTTGGCCTCCTAGGAGGTCAGGAGTTCAAATCTCACCAAAGATGAGGAGGGTGTGTGAGTTTATTTGTTTTGCATTTGCCGTATATAAATATTATATACTTCAAAAAGAAAAAGAATATGACCAAAGATGGTGTTTAAATTGAAGATGTAGGCACGCAACTGAACAACTAAACCAAACGAACCCAATATATCTCATCTTGAGGTGGGGTATGGGAAGGGTAAGATGTAGGCAGACCTGACCATGTAGGCAGACCTGACCTCTATCCCAAAGAGTAAAGCAGTTGTTCTTAGGTATGCAATTGATGTAGTCGTAATCTTTAGTACTTACAGAGTGCATTTGGTTGGCCGAATTCTGATCCACCAATGTTGGTTGCAACTTTGGATCTTTTGCTGAGTTTGTGGATATTATTAGGCTTTACATATTTGAAAAGATCGCTTTCTAAAGTCTCCAGATAGAATCCATTACCATCTGATGGTTGATTAGATTCAGCTCTCTTGAAGCCTTTATTTATCATAAACAACTCTTCAGGATTCAACACACCTGCATACATGTATGTGTCAAACACATCTACTACATCTTTACCATTTAACATGAATCACAGAAGAAGAGATGCAGCTTGACATTTAACTTCATAACAAATTGCAAAGCTTGCTATCAAGAATACCTGCACTAGTGAAGAAGGCACTATCCCAAGCTAAGCTTTTACGCAAGAAGCTCGGTCTTCTTGGTTCCATGGATTCAGATTGAACATGATCAATCCGCTCTACTACTTGTGAATTTGCACCTCCAAATAGCTTGGTATGATCAAATCCATTCACGTCATCAAAACTTACTGCAAGAAAAGTTCCCCCCAAGTTTCAACAAACGAAACTAATAATACTATGCAACAAAAGCCTGATACTCAACATCACTGCAATGCTGCAATCCATTGCCCCAATTTCTTGGCACTGAGTTCCTCAAGAAAACATAGAGACCCAAAGGGGCTGTTTCTTTAGAGCTTAATGATATGCAGGGGCGGAGCCAGAATTTGGATTGAGGGTGATCTCTTAAAGTTTATACTAATTAGTGAACTAAAGAAATCTAATTTGGTTCAATGTTGTAGATATATATATTTTAAAAACCATAAAGATACATTAGGGAAAGATGTGGTTAGAACTCGAACCCTAAGACTCCAATTCGTTATAGCACTACTCTTGGCCTCCCTCAAACAACATTCTCAAAGCAAAGTACATTGAAAATATCGAAACCAAATATAGTACATTGAAAAAAAACTGACTAAATTGGAAAAGCTAATTCAATGTATTCAGTCTTGATTAAAATGGTTTCCAAAACCCTTGTTCTTTTCAAATCTCAAAGCTTATTTCTCTTGTTTGTTATTTAAATTAAATAGACATGTGATGAAGGAGAGTAGAAAGCCCAAGCTTTCAACTACAATTCTACTGAATAGCTATGTAATTTTCCCCACAAAGTTGAGGGTGGTCCCTGGCTTACCCTGGGCCAAGAGTGGCTTTGTCACTGATGATATGTAGAGCTTATTCTTCGGCCATATATGCTCGTTTGTTTGCGGCTTAATAATTAAGCCATCAGAAATTCAGAATGGTGGTGAAATGGTAATTTCTACCATCCAAACTAGTTATTCAGCACACATAACAAACAACAATTTATCTTATAATTTATATAAACAGCTTACTCCGTACAATCCATACGGGATTTAATAGAAAAAACAAACAAAAACATTTATACTTGATTTCCCTCCAAAACAAGAACAAAAAGGCAATAACTCGAAGTTACTGAAACAAAATTATCCGAATCCAAAGAAAATGAAACCGATGTAAAAGAAAGGCAAAAGAAAATCAACAGCAAGTGCAGGCACACAGATACGAACTGGAATCCTATCAAGAAGAAGATGATTGGCAACCTGAAAGTCGAAGATCTTCGAGAGAATCGCGAAAAGGAAACGCGATTAAGTAATCATCTTCCTCCGAGAAATCTATGAGTTGCAGGTTATCCTCTTCAATACCATTCGTCTCGCAAGTCATTGTTGCCCTAAATAAGTCAGTTCAACTGAATTTTTAAAGAACACAGCTCGATTGAGACGACGAAGAACAAATGCAAAAAGAGATGAAATTGAAAGAAGATGAAGAAATGGAATTTCCAAAACCATTGAATTGAAAACGTAATCAATCACAGAATCATCAGTTGTTCTTGACCAAATCAAGATTAAATTTGGATTTATTACCAAAAATACGATTTATTGCCAAATATTTGGAATTTGGAAAATGGTGGACAAAGAAACTGCAGTGATAGAGGGAAAATCAGGTACTATTCGGTCACGGGCAGTTTGATGTTTAGCCAATCATATTGTGCCATTTTGCGGTGGGTTTATCTACGTGGACCAATGACAGTCGACCGTCACAATCGGAGAACTTGTTCCTTGAACAGGTTATCTTTAGGACACGCTCCTGTGTAAAATATAGGTAGCGCTTTGTAACAGGCGGGAAATCTTGGAATATTTAATTATTATTTTTATAAAATAATATTTTAATTTATTTTATAAGAAAAAATTGTAGTCTATCAAAACAATATCGTATACAATAATTTATATCTTAGATATTAAAATGAAAGTTTTGAAAGTACATTATTCAAAATAGGAATCAAGTTAAAGTACGTTACTTTTTAATGCAATTTATCTTTTATAAAATAAGTAAAACAATAATATTTTGAAAATTAAAAGATTTTATGTGAATTATTTATTTGTAAATAGTCTTTTAATACTTGTAACTTTGAAAAATCAATAACATTTTACAAGTAAAACTTAATGCTCTTAAATTTGAAAAGATAATAAATTAAATAAACGGGAAAAAGAAGGAAATAATATAAAAAAATTTATTAGTGTTTTGAAAAAGTAAAGATAAAGGAAATAAATTAAATTTAAGAGTTATTATTTTTTTTCTTTATTTTATTTTCATATTTAGAAGGAAAGTTTTAAAATGACGTTTATCATTTATTTATCTTTTCATTAATTATTCTTTTGTTCCAATAAATTTTCTTTTTTAAAATAAGAAAATACAAAGGAGATGAGATTCTTCAAATTTGAAGATTTCTCAAGAAATGATTATTTATGGCTTGTTTATCAAACACTTACTCGGTAAGCATTTACCAACAAAATTAACTTATTCAAAAACTTCTTATTACTAGTTTGGCACCGGTATAAGTTGTTTATCCGAACACCCAAAAGTGCTTATTACTGGTGTCATACTGAAATAAGTCAATAAGTTGTTTTTATAAGTAATCTCAAACACCCCCTTAATTCATCCTACCTAAGCCCTTTAATCATCGTGTTCCAGAGAAACCCTTCTAGGTTCTCTAGCTTTTTGAAAACTAAAACAACAGAATTCATATAACACTTATCTGATACAACGCAAAACGCAATATTTAGACCGACAACATATAGGTTATGAATAAAGGCATTTTGTGATTTTAGAGTCGAGGGGTTTATGTAGCACCCGGAACTTCTAATGTGTTATAAATTTGTTCAACTATGTATTTCGACTTTAGAAATGTTATCTACCAAGTTCATTTAGTAGATAATTATATTTCGGTGGGTTCATGCTTGAAAATCCAAGAAAGGGAAGAAATGAGGCTAGGGGTAGCCACAATCTGCGACCTAGGGTCCCGGTCAGGGTTGCACGATTCACCAGCAACATGGAAGGGAAAAAAAAGTAGGTTACCTGGGCCGTTGCACGACACAGGTCGTGACACAAGTCACGTGGGTCTCTGAGTCGTGAAGTGTGTGGGACACGGGGGACTTTGCTACGACCATGGATCGCGAGTTTTATAGATCTCATAAAAACAAGATTTTGTATCAGGGTTCATAAAATTCTCATTTCCAACTCTTTTCTCTCCTTATTTATTTTCAGTTGATAAGCATTCAAAGCTACTTTCAAGGGTTTTTCAAGTCATCTAAGTGCACCTAAGCTAGAAGATTCATGTCTAGGGTTAAAACTTCACGTTCACCTTCTCTTTTTTTTTTTTTTTTTGGGGGGGGGGGGGGGGTGCTTGATTTCTAGGATTTTCTCAAAACCTAGCAACGTGAATTCATCCTACTACTTTCTAAAACTTTATACATATAAAAAATGCTATATCTTAAGTGTCTCAAACTTACCTCTTGATGTATTTGCTTTATTTGGTGATTTTTGGGAGATCTGAGGGATTCACCCTCTTTTGACAAACTAAATGCTTAACTTTCTTGAAAACGATGTAAATATGGGTTTGTCTATCTTTGGAAAGTGATTTGATAATTGAACCTCATAAATCTAGGTTTGTGTTGGGTTTGTGATATTTATTAAGATTCTATTGCCTTTTTTTTAACCACAATAGTGGTGTCTGATTGGTTTGAGCTTGGCTCCAAAGGTCAAAAGTATCAAGAGATTCCAGGTTCAAATCCAAGGAGGAATAAAAATCCTCTTGTGGCCACGGAGGTTCAAATGTGATGACTCCGGGCTATCTGCAAAGCAGGTGGTCGCTTTGGGATTAGTTGGCTCGCATAGCGGGTTAGATATCCAGGTTAATAAAAAAAATGAATGAACAATACCTGTGGAAAATGTCATTGTTGGTTATATGAAAACTTTAAAAGATAATGATTTTTGGTACTTAGCTTTGGAAGGAAAAAGTGGTGCAAATGAAGTTGCGGATTTGTCAATCTTGGGATGAACACTTAGCGACTAAATTGTATGTTGTTGGGAAACTATATGTTGATTATAGTTTGACCATTTTTAAAGTCATGATGTGTATCAGACTATAGTGTAATAGATCCATAGACATAGAAGTCGAATATTGGTTTTAAAGTGGGATGACCATTCCCTTATTGTAGATGGAGATAAGCATCAGGTCATCGAGGACAATGTGATGTAGACTTTCATGGTTGAACATCTGCTATTGATCTTACAGATGTTATAGAGATAGCATCGGAGATGCAATGGTCCCTATGTATGCATTGTGTGTGTAATAATATATAAAGATGTTGCATTATCTATACTATATTATAACGCATTTATGTTGTGTTCTCACGACCTATTTTATAAATGAAAGAAAATAAAAGTAAGAGAAAGAGAGGAGAAAAATGCCCGTATTATCGAAATTTTTATAATCCTCAAAATCTTCATTTTAAAATATCTTAGGAGATGCTTTAAATATATGATTCATTAGTCTTTTATTAAAATATATAACAAAAAAAGTTAAAAAAGATTTAGTGATCATTTTATATTTTTGTCCCTACTTCCATATTTGAAAACGATAGTTAGGGTGTTTGAGTGCTTTTGGATCAATTTGAACTTTTCGTATTCTTCAAGGGTTAAATTGGATTATGCTCATAATCTAGGGGTCAATATAAAATATCATGCAATCTGGTGAACAAAATATATATTCCCAACATAATAATGGCGATAAACTCCGAAGACAAAGACGTACCAATCGACGTTGCACAGAGTACCACCAACCACTGCACAAACCCCTTAACAACCTGTGTCATAGGCCTCGCCTTTTTTGTTCGCCTTAATTTTCACCGATCAAATCACGGGAGTACCTTTGGCGGCGACGGCGATCGACGACGGATTGACGCAAAATCACCGCCATGTCGCGCGAGAGATTTAGGAAAGCCCTACTGCCTCCGGGCCTTGAGGTAATAATTTACCTTCAATCGGTATCTCCAACCATCTTATCTATTTTGTTGTCAGTTTTGGTTGATTCATCGTATTGTTTATGTATTAGAATGTAAATTATGATGTGACTTTTCTGTTAATTTCTTAAATCTGATTAAAATTTCGAGTGGTTTTGTTTGGGCGAGTGATTTGATGATGTAAGACGTGAATTGAAACTTGAGACTGTTGTTGTGTTGGTTAATTGCAGAATATTGAGAAGTTGAAGAAAATTGTAGACGAAGGGAATTACTATGGGGCTCAACAGATGTACAAGACTACTAGTGCAAGGTACAGACTACTACCATATGGGGATCAACAGATGTACAAGACTACTAGTTCTCTGTATATGTGGTTTCAATAGGCTCTTATGTATGAATGAATATATACATAGGCATTTCTTAACATATACACATTTGAGCATTAAGATTAATAATAAGTGCTCTGATTTCTTGGGTCTAGAATGTGTTCCTTCATTTGGAAGTATAGATGGCTCTGATTGAAAATTGTAGTAGATAATAGTGAGAGAAGTATTCTGGCATACAATTATGTTTTGAAGATTTCTGGGGGATGGTTTTGGACCATGGAAGATCACATTCTTTATGAATATGTTAGGTGTATCATATAAAAAGAGGGGACAACATAGTTTTGACCAGTATTCATAAAGCCTGGCTACCCATGGGTAAGGATGGATCTAAATATCGATGACAGTTAAAACATGGTGAAACCCTTGTGAAAAGGATGATAGAGACTGATGGCACCTAATTTGGGTTCCCTCTGCCTGTTGTCAAGCTCTGGTTGGTTGCTTGAGATGCAATACCCTTTTGACTAACCTTTGGGCGTGGGACTTAGGGGGGCATTGGTGAAAAGAGGTAAATAGCAGTGAAAACTAGAGAGATAGTGTATGTGAGTAGACTAGCTGTTAAGCAATCTAAACATTTCCTTTTCCTCCCTATTTATATTGTCCATGTTCCTTTTGCTTTTCACTTGATTCCAAAGTGATTCACTTGCGACTCCCCTGGGATGCCGAAGGTGCTCTGTCATCATCTCTTTGGACAGGACTAGGTGTGAGGGTTAACTTAGAAGTCCTCGATTAGTCTCCAGGTCAGGTACCACATACAAACAGGGCCTGTAGCTTTTAGCTACTTCGGGAGTTTCTCATACGAAGATGTAATCTTTGACAAAAGTGCATCTTTCTGATGTGAAGATGTGCAATACAAGTAGTGGAGGAAACTTATTTCGAGAACCTTATCAAGAATTGCACACAAGTTTATTTGACGGCCTATTGTTTTCCTCATTTTAGATATACTTCAGTAGGAAGATATACTGAAGCCTTAGACCTTCTTCAATCAGGTGCCTGCCTCCAATTAGAGCACGACCAGGTAAGTTCTACCACTCATTTCATCCATTACCATCAGGACATAAGCTTAGAAACAATACTGAATATAAGCACTATTATTTTATTTTTTTTAACAAGCAGATTCATGCAAAACAGTTTAGCTCTCTTTTTCACTGGCTAAAATTGTATGTGGTGTGTTACACTTGTAGGTTACTTGTGGGGGTGAGCTTGCTGCTTTGTTTGTGGAGACGCTAGTAAAAGCAAAAGTTGATTTTGATGATGACTATTTGGGTTAGTTGTTTATTCGTTTGTGGTGCTTTATCTCTGTTGTTTTCTTTTTCCAGTCCATAAATACATAGTACATGCTATAGCCTTTAACCATCAATCTTAGACCGTATTAGGAAGATCTACAAAAAGTTCCCTCGCATTCCGTTGCCTGAAAACTTGGACTTGGCTGATGATGAAGCCATTCATCGATTATCTGAAACCCTTGGAGCTGCAAAAACACGTGTTCAGAGTTGCTCATCATTTTTGAAAGCTGCTATTAAGTGAGTGATTCTGGTTATTGTTAGTGTTCAGAAAATTTCTTACATTGTTTAGTGCTTAACTGCCACAATTCAGTTCTAGTACATTATTTATGAGATGTGTGATTCATTTTGTTACCAATCAATAAAAGAGATCATGTTCTTGAAGAATTTGTGAGTCAAATTGAACTCTACCATATGAAATTTGAGGATTAAGAAAATATATTAATGACTTTTGAGGATCGTGAAATGTCACAACAATATGGATAGAACAATAGTTGATGTTCTGTTGAACCTATAAGAAATGAAAAACTACAAATAGTAAGATCTAGATATTTATTGTGAAGTTGGAATCTTTTTAATCATCAAACATGACATAATTGAGAAAAGCCTCATTCTATTTGAATTGTTTGATCCTAGATGGTCTGCAGAACATGGTCCGCGAAAGATTGGATCTCCGGAACTACATGATATGTTGGCTGAATACATATACTCTGAGTCGCCAGAGGCCGTATGTTTGCTGTAATTTTACAATTCAGTCACATTCTTTTCAGATTCTTTCCTTATCCGAATTTGTAAGGGTGTAAACATTGAATATCATAACTCATTTATTTAAAGGTTTTCTAGCAGGGTGCTGGTACTTTGTTACTAATACCTTCACATTTTTTTGACATATGCTGTTTGATTTTATTTGCTAGTTCCTGAAAGCAAAAAGTTTTGCCTCAACCTTTTTCAAACTACAATATCACATAAGCTTGTAGATAGGCAGTCACTTTAATTTTTTTTCTTTTTGAATTTTCCTACCAATTGTAGTTCCTCTTTCAACTAGAATTTTGTCCGAGTCTTGTAAAAAAATCAGTATATGTTATTTTTCATGGATAATATAAGAATGCTATTTTACATGTGTGTTGCAGGATATGACTAGAGTGTGTTTCCATTTTGCACGGGGTAGGAATCCAAAAAAGTTTGCTTCAACACTCGTGAATTTCATGGGGAAGGTTAGTCTTTTTGATAAACATGAATCACTTGGATTAATATGCAGCTGAGCCTTGCCCAACTTGTGTTCTTTTCCTGTTATGTGATCGATGCAACTTGTTTTTTTTTTGAGTGAACGACTTTTTGAACCATTGTTCTTGGATTTTTGTTGTATAAGAAGCACCTTTCTTGCAAAAATAGAAAACAAAACAAAACTTTGAAGAAACTACAGTCAGCAAAATGCCAAGTACTATGATTCATGTTGCCTTCACATTTCCGATTTCTGTAATTTATCTGTAACCACTTCTTATTGCGAACTATAGTGTTCTTTTGGCATTTTCACGAGAATGCTAGCTAGTTTGCTATGAAAAGCCAAGTACGATGGCTTAGAAAATGTTGAAACTCATTTCTTTTGTGCTGGCTGTGCAGTGCTACCCAGGTGAAGATGATTTGGCCATTGCACGAGCCGTTTTGATGTAAGTAATTTTGGGAACTATGTAAGGGAATAGGTTATGGTTGATCTGTAGATATACCTTCTTTTTAAAAAAATCCTCTTAGAAGTCAACAAAAGGCTATTCCTAATCGGCTATTCAGTTAAGAATCATCATACACTACACGAAGCGACTCATATTGGCTCTGTAAGCTAAGCTACTATTAGTTGGCCTAGCTGATGTCTAAGACCGAGCCATATCAGGCTTGCCATAGGCATGGACTTGCCAAGCTTTTTAACAAGCTGGCTCATCTGGTTTGCACCGTGATTCAGCCCTGTAGCCTTTTTAGTTGGCTAGAGCTTTATCTTTCATCTTGAGCAGGTTTCCTCAATCTCCTTTTGTGTAGGTATCTTTCTATTGGTAATCTAAGAGATGCTAACAATATTATGGACGAGATAAAGAAGCTTGCTCGGGCAAAAGAACTTGAATTCCCAGAGTCAGAATTGATGCGGTTCATTGATTATCTCTTGCAGACGTAAGTTCCATATAATTGAGGGAAGCACTTACATGTTTAGAAATCAATGCTAGGGCCTTAAATGAACCGAATGGAGGCTTCTTTGTGTTCTTACGTTTAACAATTGAACAAACACGCACGGTAACAAACAATTTTTTTTGTGTTCATGTTCGTTCGTTGAGAAAATGTGTTTGTTCGTGATGCTAAACGAACAAACACAAAATGAACAAGAACAATCACCATTACTCATCATTTCGTTCCTAAAAGAACATAACAAAATGAAAACCGAGTAATGAACTTAGTAGAGATGAAAAAGGAATTCTAAAAATTTAATTTAATTAATGATTTTACATATTAATGTCATAGTATATAAATATATTTATATATAAACAAACGTACAAGGACATAAATGAACAAATGTTCACAAACGTAAATCAATGAAGGAGACCATTGTTCATGTTCGTTCATTTAATTACATGAACAAAAAAATGTGTTCATGTTCGTTCATTTATTAAATAAACGAACTTGCTGCTGAACGTTTAGTTCGTTTACAGCCCTAGTCAATGCAAAATTTTCAACAACAGCCACTAAAATCCTGCAGGAAATAGTATACCATATGCAAAAAAATTAAGTGTTTTAAACATATACATTTGGTGCCATATACATTCGCTGCTTGCTGTTGAAAATCAATACAATTATGTTTTATTCACTGTAGGTTAATGAGAGATGCATTGCCGCTGTTCAATATGTTACGACAAAAATTCAGCTCCTGTATCGATAGAGATCCTATGTTTAACGAGGTACGTAATATCTACAATGAATGCTTAGTCTTTGATCGAGTTCGAGGGTGTGTGCCCATGGTTACCTCTGCCTTTTCTTCTCATTCTCATTCCATGTAAATGGGACAGATAAAATGAAAATAAAGATGTGTGATGGTCATATCAGTTAGGGCTTAGCTAATCAGCTGAGGTTAAAAATTCCTTTTATATTGTCTTGGTTATCTGTCAAGGGGCCCAAAATGCCCCCTAAGCCGTTCTTTTAAGAACCCATCGCCTGCCTGATGACGACTGGTCCACGTATTGTTGTGGCATCACGGGCGATGGGTTCTAAAAGAGAACGGTCCCAACATCTTTAGACCTATATGATTATTGATCTAAAAACTATTCTGGTGTAGTTGCTAGATGACATCGGGGAAAAGTTTTATGGAGTAAGACGCAAAAATCCCTTGCAGGGGATGTTCGGAGATTTGTTCAAGGTAAATCTCGTTTCTTGTTCTTAAAAGAATTGCTTGTTTTCTTGTGCTTCAAATGTCTAAAACCACACTTCATAATTGAAAGTAATGGAATCCTTAAGAGAACTGTTCAAATATAGACAAACAAGTATTTGCATCTTGAATGAATACTTCCCAAATATGGAAATGTTACCACTTTTATAGGACCAACCTGAATTGAAAATTGTTCTACTTTGTCCCAAAATACTTTCCAAGTGTGCTACTCCTCACTCCCAACATAAGTGCCTATATTTTTATTTTAGTTTGTCTCAAAATAATTGTCCACTTTTAAAAGTAAGGGGCCGCTTACTAAATGCTTATCCGGTAAGTACTTATTGGGCAATTTTTCTCACCGGATGAATGTGGCAAGAGGCAAGAATCTTACCCAGTAAGAGCGATGATAAGGATGAAGGGTTTTACCCGGTAAGTGAGGGTGACGACTCTTACCCGGGTAAGCGCTTACCAGGTAAATTGTTGCATAAGATGCGTTTTGATGTACTACAATCTTACCCGATAAAATAAATTATAATGTTGACTCCTAATGGTAAGCGCTTACCGGGTAAACATTTAGGTAAACGGTCCCTAAGTGTCTACTTTCCAATTTTACCTTAGACAGAGAATTCATCACTCTCTTTGTTATTAATGGTATAAATGTTACTTGTAGTTTATTAAAAAGTGTAATACTGACTCGTTTAATAAAATTGTACGTCTTTTTTTATTGTGGACATTTATTTTGGGAGGGAGTATTTGGTATCCCACCTTGTAATGTCATGTTGGTTAGAAGCATACATCTCATTCCTTGTAGCCTACTAATATTTCTCGGTTTGCAGATGTAATGAAGCGAACAGCGTGTTGTATACAAAAACGCCAAGTCGTGTTGTTGGATGTATTTGTTTGACCCCCGTCGCGCTACTAAGTGCAATTTTAATATCTTCCTGTATTGTGGCTATTAAACGCACATTTTTGTTGCTTTTTCGTGTTTAATATGAAATCTTAACGATAGCTTGTTTGGTACATTCTTGTGAACTTAGCAGCTGCTTATTAATTATTATGCTTTTTCTAATGAAGATTAGGATCGCACAAAATATAACATTTCTGCAATTTCAAGATTCACGTGTTAGCAGGTTACTTGGACTTTGACTTGAGAAAATAATACGAATATTTTCTCTCTCTCAAAATAGTGCTCTAGCTTGATGCTCGTTTAATGTTACACATTGTGACGGAGTTCCAGTTTCAAGTATTTAGACTCCATAAATAAGGAGAGAGACACGAGGACGGTGTTACACAATACTCATTGCATAAAGTCAAAGCAGAGATGAGTTTGCGATAGAAGTGTTGTGCAACAAGAAAGTCAAATGAGTTATACATCGTAGCCATCAGACACCGTTGTTATATGAGTATGAGTGTTGACGTATAAATAAAAGTGCATGAAAGAAGGTTGACAATTACAGATATAAGGATGTTGAGATGGAACATGTGGTTGGACTATGTTGACGAGATACGAAATGTGGTTTTCAATGCAACATTAGGGTGGCGTTTGGTTCGTAGAATGTTTTTGGATGAAATGAAATCATTTAAAGGAATTTGACTTTGAAGGAATTGGAATGAAATGTTATCAGGTTAAACCATTTGTTTGGTTGGCAGACATTGGAATGAAATCTGTTAAGAAATTGGAATTTGTCTGTTTGGTTCAGAGAATGTAGCTTGCGAATTTGAATGAAATATTGGTAAATGACCAAATGTCATTTTTTTGAAAATTTTAATTTTTTTAAAACTAAAAACATTTTAATAAAATAATTATTTAATATGTAAAATATAAAATACATAACCCAAATATAACTATAAGCCAAATGACGTTACTAAATCAACGATGGTTTACGGTGGTTCAGATTGTCATCCACAGTGGTTCAGATGGCAGTGGTTGACAGTGGTTCAGATCGATGGTGGTCCACAGTGGTTCAAATGGAGGTGGTCAGTGGTGGTTCGGATGGACGATGGTTCAGATTGATGGTGGCCGACGGTGATTCAAATCGGTAGTAGTTGACGGTGTTTTCAGATCGATGATGCTTTATGGTGGTTTAGATGGCGATGATTGACAATAGTTCAGATCGGTGGTGGTCCATGGTAGTTCAGATGCGGTGATCAATGGTGGATCAGATCAGTGGTGGTTCAGATTGGCGATGGCCGACGGTGGTTCGGATCGATGGTGGTTGACGGTGGTTTAGATCGGTGGTGGTCGATGGTTGTTCAGATTGGTGGTGGTCGGCGGTGGTTTAGATGACGATGGTCGGCGGTGGTTTAAATGCCAGTGGTCCAGATGGCGATTGTCGGCGGTGGTTTAGATGGCCGTGGTCCAGATGACGATGGTCGGCGATGGTTTAGATGACAGGGGTCGACGATGATTAAGATGAAGGTGATCGGTAATGGTCATATTGAGTTTTACCAGATTAGGGTATATTGGTTAAGGGCATATTTGGTATTATGAAAATAGAGAATTCTATTCCATCAAAATACCATGTACTTACTAATGAATGTTAAATTGTTTTATTTGTAGAATTTGTAGGATTTTGAATATTTCTTTCGTGAAAAAGAATGAACCGAACGAGGAAATAAAATTTGGTCAATGAAATACAACATTCCAATTCCATCAGATTCCTTCAGAATGTGTGAATCAAACGCCACCTTGGAGTCGCACGTAGGTATGGGGAACTCGGTCCATCCATTCCCCGCTAAACCACTAAAAAGATTTTAAAAGAATATATTTCAAAAACATAAAAAATTATTCTCTTTTTTATATTATTTTTGATTTCTTTTAAATAGAAAAATGAGGATTTATTTTTTAAAAGTATAACAATTATTGTTTGTTGGTCGAATTATAAAATTGGAAAGTTTAGAAGGTATACGGTTTTGGATCATCAGAAGCGAAGACAGGGATGATGAACACCACATCGTCGTCACCCCCAAAACCTCCCTTAAATCCTTCTGAAATCACTCAAAACCTAACCAAAATCCTCGCCAAGAACCCTCCCTCCATCTCTCTCATTTCTTCCATATCCAAATTCATTCCACATTTGACACCAGTAATAATCCATTCAGTCGTCTCATCCCAAACCCTTAAATCAAACCCTCAAATCCTCCTAAATTTCTTCAAAATCTCCCAACTTCATGCTCCTAGTTTTTCCAATGGATCCCCTGCTACTCTCCCGTCGTTCTTCGTTGTGCTTCAAACACTATTTGCCCACAACAAATGGGCCGATGCCAAAACTCTCCTTCTCAATTTCATTGGTGCCGACACGCGCCACCGTCTCCTCCGAACCATCCTCCACCCCAGCCGTGATATCCCTCGTCTCTCCAAGGCTCTTTACGACACGGCTATTGGTGCTTATATCCAGATGGGGTACCCTCATTTGGCCATGATTGTGTTTAGGAGGATGAAGAGACTCAGGATTCCTCCTAAGCTGATTACCTGCAATACATTGCTTAATTCTTTGGTAAAACACTCTTCCTCCCGTTCGATTTTGTATTCTAGAGAAGTGATCAATGATGCTATTCGACTTGGGGTTGTTCCAAATGTGAATATGTTCAATATTATGATTAATGGCTACTGTTTAGAGAACAAGTTTGGTGATGCTAGGGATCTGATGAATAAAATGAGAGAATTTAATTGTCTGCCTGATAATGTAACCTATAACACTTTGTTGAATGCCTTGTGCAAGAAGGGTAGGTTAAAAGATGTTAGGGAATTACTGTTGGAGATGAAGAATCAAGGTTTGTTTCCGAATCGGAACACTTATAACACTTTAGTTCATATGTATTGTCAGAGGAGAGGGTCCTTGTTGGAAGCTACTCATATTTTCGATCTAATGACACAAAATAACTTCTTGCCTGATGTTTGGACTTACAACACATTGATTAGTGGACTATGTAACGAGGGAAAGATCGAAGAAGCTATTAGAGTTAGTAATGAGATGGAGAAATTGAAATTGTTACCCGATGTGATCACTTACAACACATTGATTGATGGTTGTTTCAAGTGGAAAAAGAGTTCTGAGGCAATCAAGTTGCTTGATGGGATGAGTGAAAGAGGAATGAAGAGGAACACCGTGACTTATAATATATTGATTAAGTGGTATTGTAAAGAAGGTGATATGGGTAAAGCTAGTGAAACTGTGAAGCATATGGAAACTAATGGACTTTTCCCTGATAGTGTAACGTATAATACCTTGATTAACGGTTACTCCAAAGCGGGTAGTTTAGGAGAAGCACTAAAGATGATGAAAGAAATGAGTGGGAGAGGTTTACAGATGGATAGTGTTACTGTCAGTACTGTTCTCCATGCCTTGTGTCTAGAGAAGAAGTTGGATGAGGCCTATGAATTGCTTGTAGATGCTAAAAGGCAAGGTTCTATTGTTGATGAAGTAAGCTATGGAATTTTAATAGTTGGTTACTTTAAGAATGGAAATGCTGACAAGGCTTTGAAGCTTTGGGATGAGATGAAGGAGAAAGAAATGTTTCCTAGTATCATTACATATAACTCCATTATAGGAGGGCTCTGCAAGTCCGGCAAAACAGAGCAAGCAATAATAAAGTTGAATGAACTTCTGGAGGATGGATTGTCACCCGATGAAACCACATACAATACACTTATTCTTGGGTACTGTTGGGAGGGAAATGTTGAGGAAGCATTTCAGTTTTTCAACAACATGGTTAAGAACGATTTTAAGCCCGATCTTTATACTTATAACATTCTTCTCCACGGGCTTTGCAGTAAAGGGTTGCTGGAAAAAGCCATCACCCTTTTCAATACATGGATTTCAAAAGGAAAAACGGTAGATGCAGTGACCTACAACACTTTGGTATCATGTTTGTGTAAAGAGGGGAGATTTGAAGATGCCATGGACCTTGTTGCTGAGATGAAGGAAAAGAATCTAGGGCCTGATAGGTATACGTACAATGCTGTTCTTGTTACACTTACAGATGCTGGAAGGCGTGAAGAGGCAGAGGATTTGATGTCAAAGATGATCGAGTGGGGGAACGTATTAGATGATTTAAGTTCCCATGGAGTTCAAGATGAACCAGACACAAGCCTGGTAGCTTGTTCAGAAGATATTGACAAGCTTTGCACTGAAAGAAAATATCGGGATGCATTGCGTCTTTTTGGAGAATTGTCAGGGAAAGGTATAGCTGTGAAGAAGTCCACTTGTATCAGTTTGATGTGTGCACTCATCAAGAAAGAAATGAGAAGGCTGAATGCTGTTTGATTCTACTGCAAAAAGTCAAATAAGGTATTTTGTTATTTCTTGAGCAAGTCCAATATGTTTTTTTTTTTTTTTTTGGGATAAAAAGTCCAATATGTTTTTTTGGGATAAAAAGTCTGAGAAATCCACCAATCACATATGATGTGTGAACAATGACAATGGTTAAAGCTTCCATAAAAGTTAGACTAAGCAATAAAGTACCTCGTATATATATTTTTGGGATAAAAAGTCCAATATGTTTGATCATCATTACAGCAGCAAAATAGTAGATATAAGTTAATTTTTCTTACTGAACTCTGATGAATTCCATGTAACTTGTGTTTCTCTCGAGGTGAATCTATTTTAACTTCTGATGAAAGGACAATTATGCATGTAGTTGTAATCTTTATGGCCTGAGCTGTTTAATTTTCTGACTATTTAGTCTGTGGCCATAAAGCTTTGGAAAACTGAGAGTTCACAATCAACTACATCCGTTTCAAAGCTTTGGAAAACTGAGAGTTCACAATCAACTACATCCGTTTCAACACAACTTACTCTACGGTTCCTGTTGAGGCCCATAGTTTGTTTAGTGGATTCCTAGACGACATAATTCGTTTTATTACTATAATCTGAAAGACTGAAACTAATGCAAGTAGTTCTAACTTTTGTAAGAGAATTAATGGCATTTAAGGAACTTAAGAAGGACCAAGTATGAGGCTGTCTGCTGGAAGTTTTAAGAAACCAAGGTACCCTCAGTTATCAAGGATCAGATAGCCCTCCATGGTTGGTGTTTTAAAATACAATGGCTGCTACACGACCCTTACAAAACGAGATTCTTTTCCTGATCGGTATACATACAAATGCTGGAGAACTGCTGTTTAGTTGTATAGTAATACAGCCCGCAACATATATTCTTTTAGTCATGTATGCATCATGCATCTTTAGGATTTTGACATGTCTTTGTTGCATTCTTAATGCTACATATAGCTGGTAGATCTTTCGTTCAGAAGCTCATTATTAATGGTTAGATTTTCTTTGTTTTGTTTCCCGATCACCTTGCAGAAACTTTTGCAGCGAAGGATCCAAGGAATGGTCTATCTATCATTCTCCAATCATTGGTTCTAGTAGAACAGTCAACCTTTCAAAAGGAACTTTGGACATAAAGGTACCTTTTTCATTCGAAACTTCTATTTACCTATGGAAATAGCTACAGTGCATCAACGTGCAAAGCTTGATGCCTTTATCTGGGCTTGACACAGGCTATGTAAGAATAGATAGGTGTCCTTTTCTGGAAAAGGATGTTTAGTTGCAAGAAAAGAAGAAAATTGAGGACAAAGTCTGGCCATGTGTAGGGTAGATGGAATGTATGTTTGTATCAACCAAGGGAATCTAGATGTAGTCAAGATTGATGAAACCTACATTCTTTGGATTTCTTGTAAAAGCCAATTCTGGAGTATCTTCACATCATGTATTGGAACCATTATAAAATGTTAAAAAATGGCAAAAAAGAAATGCCATTAACTTAAGAATGTCTTGATTTCGTTCAAAGGGGTGAAGCGAGTGTAGGAAATGATGTTGGTCAAAATTACATTGAAGTTTTAAATTTTAATTTGCAAATTTACAAGATAAATGCTATTATTAGCTTTTTTCATTGAACCTAAAAGCCCTTGTAGATGGTAGGTGGCCCTCGAAGCACCAAGACTCTAACTTTGTGAGGTTGAAGGAAGTCTTTCCTTGTACTTGGCAAAGAGACTCTTTCACTGAGTCCAACAAAGTAGTAATCTTAGTAGTTGCTTAAAGGTTCAGTCAAAACCATTCTCGCAAAGAAAGGCTAAGCCCTGGAGCTCCTCCCCATAGGTCGCCAATTTGAGTCTCCTCAGGGCCACTTGGGATCTTTCTGGTTGTTTTCTTCAGGGCCCTATGGGATCAGTCGAGGTGGTCTGGACACCCACAATTACCCAAAAAAGGTAAAATAGAACCTGTCATCCTCACAAATTTGGTCTTGATTGACCCTGTTTGAGTTATGGTAGGAATGTCAATCTTAGAGTTTGACAACCACCAAAAATGTTGCCCAGAGCTATCTAGTATATGCTTGTTATACCAGTTGTAGGCCCGACTATATCAGCAACTACATAGAGAGGAGGGAGGATGGACATCTCGACTAAATACTGGGTCTGTTTGGTTTTAGTCCTGTGTAGTGGAAACGGGAGTTGTAATATGTTATAAAACCAACAGAAATTTTACTCTAGTTTAGGCACAACCCTTTATTATATTTTGAAGTTGTATATCACTCGGAATTAAAGGGGTTGGTTTAAGTTTACATTCTACATGGTTGCCATACCGTTCCTCGTTCTTTGGTGTTCTGTTGTTTTTGTTTCTATCTGATTTTTAACTGATCAGTGGTTATACACCGTTTAAATCTAATGTTTATAATTATCGTATTCGATATTTAGTCATGAAAACCCATCTTTCTCATTCATGCATAAATACTTATACAAGTTCGTTTTTTCCCCACAAACATGAGTGAAGCCACATCGCTCTTTATGCAGTACATGCTATGGGTTCACCTTACGGTTTTAGAATTTTGTCCTACGTGGGCCCATGGACCTTCTAAGGCCGGAAGATGAACCTGAGGATGAAATCTGCTTCTTGGTTGACACCACCCCCAATCTGCTGCTCGAGCCACCTTGCTTTCCCGACACTAACCGACCAGGGGCATGAGTCGAAATCTTAGACCTGACTTTCGTGGACTTGGTTGAGCCCTTGGAGGCATTGGCCACAGATGAGGAACGTAGGCTATCATTTGGCGAACCCCTTATGGACTGCATGCTATATAAGCTCCCCTTGGAGCTTGCGGACAACAATGCAGGCTTGGAGGGTGATTCAGTATTGGAGGTTGCAGGTTCCCATGGCCTAACTGCATTCCATCGATCTAGCCAACTCCATCCCCATGGCTCTGTAGATGTGGGATTTGCAGATCTCAAGGAGTTCCTCCATATTTGCTGTTTGTTTGCAGTAGTAAATGTTAGGTAGGGGATATTGATGGATGGATTTGTGTATAAAATAAGTAAAGAGTACCTGATGAGTGTGTATATAAGCTAGTGCTTTTTCTCTTCTTTCAGCAGTCTCCCTTTTCTTTCGCAAACTGGCTTCTACTTGTTCCTTGGATTTGGGACTTAGATCCCAAGGAATTTTTTCCTGATCAAACAAACCCATAAACTACAAATTATTAACAATGCACCCTTGTCTCGTTTTTACCGGGTAAGATTCTTGGTTATTACCATATTCATCCAGTGAGATAATGTTACTTGGTAATCGCTTACCCAGGCAAGCGTTTGGTAAACAGCCCCTTAGTACCCCTTGGTTTCGGGGTGGACCCGTCCTCTAAAAAAAGAGACCGGCTAGAGATCTCTTTATCAAAATCTTTACTTATTTACATTTTTTTAATTATTAAGAAAACAAATAATAATAAAATGAATTTTTTTTATATTGATTTCCTATGTTAGTTAAATAACGAAGGTAGAACATGTAAATAAAGTGGGACCTAAAGCTTGGGTTAGCCAAGTAAAATGGCTTATTCAAAGTTTCTTCTTTTTGTAGAAACAGATTTTACCATCGTCTCAAAAAGCTTTCCGAAACAGCCTCATTGTGGAAATATTATGGTGAATGATTGATCCAAACAAAAGACTGGTGTTGGATTAGAGGACTTACAGAGGATTTAACACGATCTAGAGCTTTTTTGGTCTTCTGAAGTAGCTGTCGTTGAAGGTCTTTGTTGACTTCAGCCATTCTAATCCTCCTTGAACGAACCTGAGACTGGACACGAGCCATTGTCTGCATGCACATTAAGGTCGATGCTGTTTGACGTTTCACCGCCTGCCCTTTAATCATCACTCTCAATCTCCTACGTGCTCTCAAAACCCGCCAATCCTTTCTTGCCTGAGATCAAACAAGAAATTTGTTTCGGTTATAATAAAGATTGTATCATTTATTGGTATTTTGTACTTTGAGTATTGGGGCTGTATTGCAATATCGTGATCTTGTAATCCTTCATTTATACTAATGAGAAAGGCAGGCAACCATAGCATAGTATCATATCCTAGGTCTACCATTTTAGGGACATGACATTCTAGGACGATCTGTATTAGTCGAGCCCTCCGTTATATGTTGGAGGGGAGTGTAGAGTCGCATATCATCTAGACTTGATCATCAATGATCATTTCTTGAAACAATTTTTCTCTCTTTTATTCAAAGGCTCTTTTGGAGAATTAACTAACAGGGTCCACAAATTCTCAGATAGTTTCAGAGGAGTTGGTCACAACTCGAAACTAGTAATGACAAGGATCACGGGTAAAAGATCATTATTACCATGTGCCCACGATAAACCGTCTGAATCTTGATGGCGGCAATTTCTTCTTTGGATTTACCCGAGAATTGGGTGGTTGATGTCTCCGGAATGACCTCATCATCAGCAACACAAGGTTCTTCCTCCATGTCAGTGGTTGAATCAGGTTGCATGATCTGCTCATCGTCTGGTTGTTTGAGATCCGCCGGTTCTTCCACCATGGCAATATTGGCATGAGCGATTGAATCATGTTGCATGATCTGCTCATCGTCTGGTTGTTTGAGATCCGCCGGTTCTTCCACCATGGCAATATTGTCATGAGCGATTGAATCATGTTGCATGATCTGCTCATCATCTGGTTGTTTGAGTTCCGCCGGTTCTTCCACCATGGCAATATTGGCATGAGCAATTGAATCACGTTGCATGATCTGCTCATCTTCGGGTTGTTTGAGATCCGCTGGTTCTTCCGCCATGGCAGTGGCATAAGCAAATGAATCTGGTTGGTGTTTGTGATCATCTACGTCCACCTCCATCTCCATGGGAGGGTTAGCCAATGCAGCTTCTGTTTGCGGTGAATATGAATCGAAGCTCATCATTTGATTTCCATGCCTTGATTTTCTGGAATTTGATCTATGGGATCTCTGTCATCAATCAAATCATATATAACATTAACAATGAAAAGTTGATTTTGGAATTTCATCAAACAACTTGTATGCAATGCAAATGAAATTAGAAAACACAAACAATTACCTTGCCTTTCTTGTCCTTGGAATAAGAACGGATTACAGCTCTCTTGACTGCAGAAAGCCAACCCTTCTTCCCCATTTCCTTTCCCTCCTCAAATCAATCTTCAAAAACCATGAATTAATAACAAAAACGAACACCCCAAAAGTCCACAATAGAAAGAGACGATGAAATCAAAAGGAAGAGTAAAGATACCTGCAACAACCGCCAAGAAGATTCAATCCTTCTCTTGTTCTTCCGATCCTTAATTAATGATTTGAAGGAAGGATTAAGAGAAGGAAAACCCGTGTTGTTGAGAGAGACTGGGAGGTGACGGGGGGAAGGGACGAGATGAGATCCTTCACAAATTAATTCTTGTTTGATGGAGGAAGCCATTAATTAATAGTTGAAGCCAATTCTATTCTTGGGCAACGGAAAAGGTGGTGGATATGAAAAATGTACAATTTATTCAACCACTTTGGGTTTTGTATTTCTATTTTTGAGTTTTCTTCCATTTGTGGTTATAAATGATCTTCTAAATACATCCATGTATACATTAATTACACGATACTTCCTAATTATTGTTTCTAGGTATATAAACCGGACAGGTAGATGTGGTGGTGGTCAGTGGCCCGCAATGGTTTGTGGTGATAGTGGTTGCACCTGACAATGGTGGATATGGAGGGTGGTGGTGGGTGGTAGTAGTGGTAGTTGATGGTGGTGGTAGATGACTGTTAACGGAATACTATATTAGTGTTGTATCAAATGTTTTTGACTTCTATCTTCTAAAGTCTTGCTCATTTAGCCTTAAACTTAGATTGCAATAACTGTCTTTTGTCGATCCCAAGTCATTCCAACCCTTAGGGCTCACAATCTTGAAGACTTTGTTCTTGACACAAAACTCCGCCCCTCTGTGTTTGTTGATTCCGTAGTCACTAATACCACTTCTGGAAACTCTCAGTCAATTAATCCTCTTTATATTCTCCGGGTGAACAAAGATCAAGCGATAATGAGTTGGTTACTCAACTCCATTTATGAATCGATGCATGGTCACGTAGTTTGTTGCTCCGTATATCACGAAGTCTAGAGCAACATTGAAACTCTATTTACCACCAGCCCCAAAGCTAGAACAATCCAACTACGATTTCAACTTCAATCTTTAAAGAAACGAAATCTACCATTTCATGACTACAAATTGAAAATGCAATTTCTCCCTAACAACCTTGCCTCTTCAAGTCAGTCAATCTTTAATGATTTTTATATCCTTCGAGGACTCAGACACAACTATGATTAGGACGTTGTTAATCTCTCTTCCCGTCATGATCAACTTACCTTGCAAGAAGTCCAGTTAATCTCTCCTCCCGTCGTTTAGGGCAGTCTGCTCTTTGTTGACATTCTTCAATTGTGCGTGGTTTGATGTTATCGTGTTCTATGGTCTCATAAGCAACAGTATATGCAAATATATCATCAATGAGTATGGATGATCTTTCCATCAACTCATTTGCATGCTCATAATTCATTGAGATTTATTTCTTCTTCAGGAATCAATGTTGATTTCGAAGCGTCCTCCAATAATTTTTCCTGGACATAACTATAATTAGAGACAATCTCATGAGAAGGATTTTCAGTATTGATGATAAATGGATCAGATTGTGCTTTACTCTTTTTTTTTTCTTTCTTGGATGAGTATCTATCGAATCAGATGACCTCCCTCTTTTCCTTTTGGGAGCCATGGCCTCAATTACACTACCACTATGTGTCGTTGCAATACTCTTCCCGATGGTGTTGTGCCCCTGTTTGGGGACTTATAACCTTGCATGTACATTTGCAACCGGTATATGTGATCTTGTCACTTTTGCAATATCAGTGAATGCATAAGGTATCGAGTCTGGTACGTTTTGAAGATTTAATATTCGTTTCACTTCACTTTCACATTGTGATGTGCAAAGATCAAAATGAGACAGAGTGAGAACATTCCATGACAATTCTTGTCTTTCTCTTGGAAAATTCTTTTTCCTATTTCCCCCTAACGACGGAAGACTGTCTCATCAAAGTGACAATCCGCAAATCTTGTGATAAATAGATCATCCGTCAATGGTTCTAAATAACGGATAATTGTTGGGGATTCATATCTAACATATATATACTTAATCATCTTTGAGGGTCCATTTTAGTGTGATGTGGGGGCGTAATTGACACGTAAACTGCACAATTAAATATGCGCAAATGTGAAATATCATACTCATAGCCAGTTATCAACTGGTATGCAGAAAATGGTTGGCTAGCAGTAAGTATAAAGCGAATAAGTAGTGTTGCATGTAATATTGCATAACCCAATACAGAAGTGGGTAAATTGGTGCACATAATCAATGCCGTGACTCATCATCCTTTTGATAGTAGCTCCTGCAAGACCATTAAAAAGACAGGGATTACCCTTTTATAACAACTATAAGTAAACATGTACTTTTTGGTTTGAAAATTTATTAAACTAAAATATTACAACAAATAAAAATAAATACTTATATGTAATGACAAGGTCAACATGTTAAGCCGTTGACTAGCCAAGCCGGACTAGAAGACCGGTTGATGTTACGTCACACTAGGCCGCCGGCTAATCGAAGTCTGCTTACGTCATTATTTTATAATTTTCATTTATATAATTATTTAAATTAGGAAAAATTTCAAAAAAAAAAAAAATTGAATATGCTTTGCTTTTTGGAATGATTAAAACTGTGTTTGCAAACTAAGTAATAAGATAACTGATAGTTGATAAATTAATTGATAATTAATAAGCTAATTGATGAACAAATCATGTTTGACAAAAACTAGCTTATAAACATATAAAATTATCAAAAAGGCATCTTGAAAATTAATAAATTACTATCTATACTATGTTATAAAATATATAATAAAAACTCTTAAAAATCATTTTTATGCATGAAATACTGTATATTGATACATATTACTTAAAGTTAACGATTACAAGTAAATTATGTGTAAATACAACTTATTAAAGCTCCATTTTCAATTCGTGTAACTAACTGCAGATAAACTTAATAATATACAGAAAGAATATCTCATTTTGAATATAAATAATCTAAAATATCATTAGGATATTATAAGCATTGAGTTCTAACAGAATACTTAAATTATTATCTTTATAAAAAATTAGAAACGTACTCGCGTTATACAATGCACATCAAAAACTAATAAGTGTTTGTACTCAGAACAATATACAWTGCACATCAAAAACTTTGGGCGACCGAACATGAATGTAGAACTCGAATGCAAGTTGTCATGTCATTTCTACAGGAAGAATGATATATGCGTGAGGCGTGTGCAAATAACTCAAATCAGTTGGAATATTTATTTTTCATTCATCCAATATCATTGATGTTGTGGCGTGCATTTCCACACAAGTTGTTGATGAATGTCAAGTATAAAACGAACAGGTATAAGATGCCCCTCCTTGAGATTTTTTGTGTAACATCAACTAATATGACTTTTTGCATAACATTTGTTTTTATGCATAAAGAAAAAAAATCCAACTATACATGAGATCGCAATAATTGTCTTTTGTCGATCTCAGGTCATTCCAACCCTTAGGGCTCACAATCTTGAATACTTTGTTCTTGACACAAAACTCTGCCCCTCTGTGTTTGTTGATTCCATAGTCACTAATACCACTTCTGGAAACTCTTAGTCGATTAATCATCTTTATATTCTCCGGGTGAACAAAGATCAAGCGATAATGAGTTGGTTACTCAACTCCATTTATGAATCGATGCATGGTCATGTAGTTTGTTGCTCCACATATCACGAAGTCTGGAGCAACATTGAAACTCTATTTACTACCCGTCCCAAAGCTAGAACAATCCAACTACGATTTCAACTTCAATCTTTAAAGAAACGAAATCTATCAATTCATGACTACATATTGAAAATGCAATTTATCCCTGACAACCTTGCCTCTTCAAGTCAGTCAATCTTTAATATTTTTATATCCTTCAAGGACTCAGACACAACTATGATTCGGTCRTTGTTAATCTCTCCTCCCGCCATGATCAACTTACCTTGCAAGAAGTCCAGTTAATCTCTCCTCCCGTCATTTAGCTCAGTCTGCTCTTTGTTGACATTCTTCAATTGAGCGTGGTTCGATGTCATCGTGTTCTATGATCTCATAAGCAACAGTATATGCATATATATCATCAATGAGTATGGATGATCTTTCCATCAACTCATTTGCATGCTCATAATTCATTGAGATTTATTTGTTCTCTGGAATCAATGTTGATTTCGAAGCGTCCTCCAATAATTTTTCCTGGACATAACTATAATAAGAGACAATCTCATGAGAAGGATTTTCAGTATTGATGATAAATGGATCAGATTGTGCTTTACTCTTTTTTTTTCTTTCTTGGATGAGCATCTATCAAATCAGATGACCTCCCTCTTTTCCTTTTGGGAGCCATGGCCCCAACTACACTTCCACTATGTTTGGTTGCAATTCTCTTCCCGATGGTGTTGTGCCCCTGTTTGGGGACTTCTAACCTTGCATGTACATGCAGCCGGTATATGTGATCTTGTCACTTTTGCAATATCAGTGAACGCATAAGGTATCGAGTCTGGTGCGTTTTGAAGATTTAATATTCGTTTCACTTCACTTTCACACAATGAAGTGTGAGGATCAAAATGAGACAAAGTGAGAACATTCCATTACCATTCCTGTCATTCTTTCGGAAAATCCTTTTTCCTATCTCCCTCTAACGACGGAAGATTGTCTTATCAAAGTGACAATCTGCAAATCTTGCTGTAAATAGATAATCCGTCAAGGGTTCTAAATAGCGGATAATTGTTGGGGATTCATATCCAACATATATATATATATATATATACTTAATCGTCTTTGAGGGTCCATTTTAGTGTGTTGTTGGGGCACAATTGACACGTATACTGTACAACTAAATATGTGTAAATGTGAAATATCATACTCATAGCCCGTTACCAACTGGTATGCAGAAAATGGTTGGCTAGCAGTGAGTCAAAAACGAATAAGTAGTGTTGCATGTAATATTGC